TCCTCCTTATCTCCCCCTCCTCTTATTCATACAAGAAATAATAATACAATGTTGAATGACTGGTCCAGAATCAATGTCCGAGTTCCTCTTCTACTGCAGGTACCCCTTGAGGTCCACCATAGCCATGGTCGCCTCCCTTCACTCTTCACTCTCATAGGCCGAGGCTATGGCGGACTACTAGGTCTTGCCCACACGTCCAAAGGACAACCCAAAGCAGCTATGGCTGCTCTAGCTCAGGCCACCATGCCCCAACCCTGCCTTGAAGCTTCTTGGTGTTGCTCTCCCCAGTTGGGGACACACTGCTGCAGCGCCCACCAAGGTGATGAAGATGGCTGCCACCATAGCCAGGTAAGTACCCCTGGCGCTCCTCCCCCTTCCTTCCTCCTTCCTCCTTCTTCCTCCCTCATGTCCTTCTCCTTCCTCCCCAGCAGCGCTGCTCCAGCTTAGCGCTGCTCCAGCCAGCGCTCCACCAGTGTGTCGCCAAACTTGCACACCAAAAAAAGAGGCCGGGTCTTCCGCCCGGCCTGAAGATATAGCGGCCTGTTTTGCCTCTTGGGCGGTGACTTCCAGGCCGCTGGCCTTCCCAAGCAACCGGTACCTCCTCCTCTTTTGGAGGGAAACATCATTGCAGACTCTGATATTGCCCCTACAGGCCCTAGACTCAGACTGGTACCCGCTAGACCTAGCCTACACTACCGGCCTCTAAAAATGCCACTTTTGTGTTATTCTGAAGTTCTGCTCGGCCTCCGGTACCTGCATATTTACCCCCCTGCCGGGTGCGGTACCGGCCTACCCGCTACTTGAGTGCTTTTTCCCCGCTGCAACCCTTCAAAGCCATGGCCACAGGTAAGTACCGGCCCTAAGGRCCTAACGAACGAACAAGTGCCCTGGCGGGCCACACACACACACACATACCAACCAGCACTCAGACAGGCACAGTCACACACACGCAAGCCAACCAGCACTCAGACAGACATGCAGTCCAGCAAGCACACACACACAGACTTAGCAGGCGGGAACTCAGCAGGGCATTCAGTCTATGAGCAAAACTCAGAAATCAGCTGTGTGTTTCAGTCCATGTTTGGACGGGTTATCACATAAGTAAAAACTAAACAACTTCAAAATCAGAAAATCCAGCGTCATGAAATTAACGCCAAATCCAGATGATAAGTTTTGAAACTCCAATTAAGGAGACAAATTAGAAATCGATTCTGATGTCCAAACGGACTTTCGACGCTGATTCCAGAACCCACGGTTCAAAAAATCTCTCAGACCGTAAATCAAGAAATTACTAAGTAAGAAAAACAAATCGACGATCAATTGAATACAAAAGGAATACAGACAAGATTTTGGAATTTAACAGACATGCAAAGTGTCATTGGGAAATACCATCAGCTACCCTAAATTAGCACTATCAACCAATACATGCAAATTTCCAATTGATCTTTCCGGCAAAAAAATCTATAGAAAGTATTTTAGATTTGAATTCGAACTTTTCAGAACATAAGAAGGAAAAACGTATCTGTAAAGAATCAGCTCATTGAAACGAAAATCACAAATTGTGTGTTGAAATCATCAACAAAGAACCACCTACCAAGAAGAATATTAGTAAGGTTCGAAATATGAGACAGCAAACCACGCGTGGGCTAAATCCTAATCCAGTAAAAAAGCGATCTCCCATCCCTTCTTCCTCAACCAGACCGCTTACCTCGCACCCCTCAAACCCTCCCCCCACGTCTTTGGGGAAGGAAAAATCCTCCCACTGCAAGCGTGTAGCATCCAAGCAAAGCTGACACCAAAGACTAGAACGGCCATTTTCAATCCCCCGAAAGAAATCAAAAACAGTGTGGCACCCCCTCGCCAAACCTGTTGACGAGTCGCCACAAGGGGTTCAAAACCACCATAACTCTACCCATACCTTACTATAGAGGAAGAGGGAAGGTTTTTCAACAAACGAGGACGCAAAGTTGTAACCAAGTTCGGCACCTCCTCACCCCCTTACCCAGCTTCCCCACCCTCCTCCCCTCTATCTCTCCACCCATGGTTGATCCCCCTCACTGCCCAACAAACCCCATCTCCTGCTGCGCGCCACCATGTCCCACTGTCCACCTTGCATCATCGTCCGTCGCGTCGCCTTGCATCCTCGCCCGTCGCGTCGCCTGACTCTCAGTTAGCTCCTGTGTCGCGCCACTTCAGCTCCGACGTTGGCTCCAGCGGGGGGCGCAGCGCTCCCGGTCGCGCTGGGCCCCTGCCGGCTCATGTTCCACCAAGTCCCGGTTGTTTTAGTCTTTTTCACATTTTGACAGTGGTGTGGCCCTTAGTTGATTTGTGCAGGTGTTTTACGGATAACTACCGTCTTCACCTGAATAGAACGCCTGGTCATTATCTCTGCCTCTGGACTGGAAGGGTTGCCAAATACAGGTATAATGACGGACCATAGAGGCTACCAGAGTGGCCCGGGGCAACTTGCCCAGCCGGGCCAAAAAATATATTTTAAATTTTATTTTTTATTGTAAATTTGGTACAGAATTTCGATGTGACCCTGAGCCAAAAGTTGGTCAGATTAAAAAATAAAAATAAAAATAAAAAAGTTGGTCAGTTTATTTTTCTGCATCACATAGTAGTTTTTCGTTTGTTTGTTTGTTTGTTTGTTTGTTTTTTGGCTGGGCCGTTGCATGGCCGGGCCTCTCGGTCCAACAAGGTGACCCCGGCCGCCCGGCTGGTAGCCCAGCCGACCATTCTATTCCGGTGAAGACCGTAGTTACATCATTCTCAACTTAGGACTATTCGCAGTATCTGGTCACAATCATCCATGAAAGTCCTTGTGCAGCGTCCAGTTAATCCTGTGTACCGGTGGAATCGGGCAGGGATTCCTGTGTGACCCTTTCTTCTTTCCAACCAAGGCTACACGTAGGGTGCTGCAAGGGGTGGTAGGAGCACCTCCTCGCAGTAGCCCCGCCTGTTGCGGCAAACTATTGGTGGAAAGCATCACCTGCTGGAAAGGAGGTCCAGCATCCCAATAATCCAGTGTGACCTGGCGTTCCTCATGGGAAGAAAGTCAAGCCACAGTGTGACCCACTTGCCACTCCCTCAGGGTCACCTCCGGCTGGTGCTGTCTGCGCCACAGAGTTGGCATGAATCTGGTGTCCATTCACACAAAAATATAGCCCCACTGAGATCATGCTCACACAAGGACTTTTTCTACTAAGCTCTGGAAGTGATTGCAGCAAAATGCATCCAGTTCGGGCCATAACTCCAGTTAGATACATGTAGGGAAGTCCTAGTGTGAGTATATGGCCTGAGGCATGCTGGAAGGTGGAGAGACCTTATTCTTTCTCGAGGGCATACTCACATTAGGTGGAATTTTTCACTTCGTCCTTCGGGGGCCAAGTCCCACTTACCCAAATTCTCGATTTCTGACCGCAGGTTTGGAAGATCAACAACCAGAAATCAAGGATCGGCCTAAGTGGGACTTGGCCCCAGGACATCCGTTAAGATTGGACCGATATAGAGAAGATTCACAAGCATGACACACATAAATCGAGAAATGGTCCACTTAAAAAAAAGAACAAAGGACTTTTTCAATTATGTTTTGGCGTAATTGCGGTCAGATACATCCAGGTGCGTAAATGCCATCAGATACAGGATCGTGGGAGGGAGAGGGGGGGGGGGRGGGCGACCTCCAAGAACAATTGCCCAGGGACTACTACCTTAAATTTAAGGAATCGCTGACTGTGGATCCCAATATCCCTATGCGCCCGGCCGAAGAATTCCCAGACCCATTTCCCCCCCACCCATATGCCTTGGAAGTGTGTTCCTGTAACTGACTAACATATATAACACATATGAGATGCAGTCAAATCCAGTTTTCCTGATGTTTTCCTGATGTAGTCATTCCTGCTCCCCTCTATCCTTCACGGTCGTCCCCCCAAATCCCGGCCAAGAGGTGACGCTGCCCTCCCCGCTTGCTCTGAACCGGGCTCTTTCATCCGGGCACAGTCTGTTTTTTTGCGGTTGCAGCCCCATCAACTCTGATCTGGTGTCGCTCTGTGTCACAGCCTGGGAGGACGGTTCCACGACAGGAATGACAAACTTCTAACAACTTTTGTTCTAGGCATCACTTGGTGTCAAAAAAGGGGGGGTTGAATTCTTGCGGAAAAATGATGGGCAAGGGTACGGAAGGAAACTCCGGTGCCCCCCGGTGTTCCTCCCGGACCCCTGCCCGGACACAGGAAGGCATGGAGAATGAGGTCTTCCAGGCCTGCAGGCGAATCAGTCTGATGTTGGGCGAAGTGGACCCTCAGGCATTCAAGAAAACCAGTCCTGCAGCGGCATATGGTTACGCCCTGCAGCTCAGCACTCCGCATAGTCGAACTCCTGACGGAAGCTCTCATCTCCTGAAGATAGCATTCAACCCTTTATGGGCAGCATACATCTCAGTCATCTTCTACCACAGCCTGCTTAGTGCAGGCCTTCTTCTGGCCCTTTTATTTCTGCCAACGACCTGCTCAGTCAATCCCCTGGGGTCCAGGGTTATCAATGCTGGCAGGGACCCACGAATTGGTTCGAATTTGTTCTGATTTCAGTCTGTATAAGGGACGCTGGACCCGTTTTCCAGCAGGTGACGCTCCCCACCAATAGATGGGGCCTCTCCCCGACTGGTAGTGGTGTCTGCTCTTATCGGCATCACTACCAGCGGCGGGGGTGTTTAAAAAAAAAAAAAAAAAAAGATGGAGCTAGTGTGAGTGGGCACTGAAATATTGCCTTCTTACTCTTTGGTGGAAAGACTTTGTTCTTGGTGGAAAGACTTTTTTCTTGGCGGAGGGACTTCTGAGCTTGACCATGCAACTGTTTCTGCTTGTCCTTTACTCACATTGCTATTGGAACCAAATTGGGGCCCGTTTTGGGAACTTGTGCAGTGGATGGGATGCTGGGTCCGTTTTGGGAACTAAGCTTGGAGCTATGGTTGTTGCTGTGGCTGTGCCTATTCTGTTGGTAAGGTGGAGGCATCCCCCTCTTGAAGCTTCCCTTGGGAGAATCCCAAGCAGATAAGTATCCGATACCAGGGATGGCGGATGGGCTCTCTCAACTAAAGGTGATGCACAAGGAGGCAGTTCAGAGTGCCATGCTGGAGAGAACGAAATGGTGGCGTCTTCTCAAGGTCACGCGGATAGCATATGAGCAATATGATGACAGCATGCCTTCAGCTGATGCTGCAAGACCTGCGATGAAGACGGCAGTCATTGATCCAGAGAAAGAGGACAACAGAAGGAGGCTCGCTGCAAGTTGCCAAAGAACGACTTCCTCAGGCATGTCCGGTGGCAGGGAGTCCAGCTGGCTGGCATGCACAGCATGTGGACTCTGATGTGGATCTCACGAGCACAAGCTCCCGCCCCCAGCAAGACTCTACAGAAAACAGCCATACATCGTTTTGGAAAAGATGTCCTCCCTTCATTTCAAGGACTGGCATGGCCATCCTTCGACTGAGTGATTGTAAGAACTGGCTGTGAATTTATGTTACGAACTTCTGACGAAGTGCATGCGCCTGATGAAGTGCATGCGCCTGATCTGCTGTTGGACCTACCGCATCGACTTACTTGGCATACAACCGTGGGATTGTGAGCTAAGAAGAGCTAACTCGTGCCTAACTGGTGGGTTGACCTGAACGAGCTAGGCCTCTTGCTCTTCTCTCTCAATGCTTTGGGGAGAGTTTGTTTTCAAATTCCATGCCCTCACATCAACCATCAAAAGAGGCATGAGGATTTACTATCACAGAGAATACATCTTGGGCACCGAGCCGCACCCTGTGTGACGATCACCATTCTGCCTATCACAACTCCCCTTTGCTGCCTATCACAACTCCCAGGCAAAGGGGAGTGGTGAGACACATCATGGAGACCACAAGGAGTGGTGAGACACATCATGGAGACCACAAGGAGGAGTTTTCTTGTATGTTGTCCGAAAATACACCGCATCGGCCGGCAATTGCATTTTGCTATTGGCCTGCCCCTGCCTTTATGTGGCCCACACCACAGACAGGCTCTTATGGAGTAGGGAAGGGGGAAAGCAACTCCCAATGTCCCAAACAGACTTGTGATTGGCAAACCTCACACTAATAGCCAGGTTATGTTTGGATTTCTCACCCAGGGGTTTGCAATACTTTAAAGTTTAAACTACCAATACACCCATACATGGGGCGGGGGCCCCTTTCAGAGGCCAGTAACGCTTAGGAGGCCGCCGATGGAATTTATCCACAGCGCCCCGCCCCGCCCCGCCCCGCCCAGCCCCGACTGTGTGGGTGGTGGCGACGAGTTTCTTTCTGCAAGGCTGGGGCCATGTACTGGTGGTCTAAAGGGCTGGGCCAAGGATTATGGGTAGAAAAGTATGGTAAGGAAGTCTCCGATCATATTCAACAGTTTATTCAAACACCGCACTGAAACGCGCTAGCACCTAGCGCTAACCTGCGCTGTGGACCGGCCGGCGAGGCTACCATAGCTGCCCTGGATATCCTAGTGCGCGCCTGGTTCTCTCTCCGGGCGAGTTCCACCTGGCAGATCAGGAGACGGCACATGGGTGTAAGGCATTTTTCTCGCTGATCTGACGGTGCGTTCTTTGGGTGCTTGAGATGGCTTCAATTGGTTGTCAACCATTCAGGAGGGTAGTCACCACTTGCGAAATATCATGATGGATGCTTTGCCCTCGACGCGGGGGGATTGGTCTGAAGCTGATGGTGAGGGAGCCACGCTGATCTCATGGCTGGAGGACATGATGTGAAGCATGCTGGACATCATCTGGGAGTTGAAGGAGGGGCCGGCTCCTCAGCTGGATGAGTTCATCGATTGGCGACAGCGGATACTCTAAATTGGTGCGGCTACGATACTTTCAAGGAGGGACATGATCTGTGTGATGCTTCGAAAGTGAGGTTGCTTGTGCAATCTGACGGGTGTGATTGTACGCTCGGCACAGAAGAAGGACAACTGCTACTTGAGGAGGGTTACACGCAGGGAGGGCCTGAAGAATGGCAGCCTCTTCCCGCCTCTCCACAGATGGCAGACCCTTATGACTGGTGGGCAATCGGTTGCCCACCATCGTCAAAAACAAAACACTGTGAACAACAACAATAATGATGTCAACAAAGACTGGATCAAGGACAACAACAACAATAACATCAATGACGATGGTTTCATCAACAATAACATTAGGAGCAACGAAAATAATAACAACGTTTACAAGGGCAACATCAGCAACAACGACATCAACAGTGAGGGCAGCTGTAGCGCCGGCAGATTTGCATCACCGCAGCTCACGTCACACACATTCTGCATTGATCGCCGTGGTCACGGGGAGGGTGATCAGTGGAAGAGAACCTCGGGCTTGGGCTTGGCTGGAAGCTCCCTTCTCTCCCCTCTCTCCCACCCTGTTATGTTCCCTCATTTTCGCCCATCATTTCCCTTTTCGCCACGGGTAGGGGTGGGTTAGGCGGTGACAGGATTTTGTCTGCGGCCCACTGGGTGCTCTCCTGGCAGGACGTTGGATGATTCCGGTTTTCTTGCGTTGAATCGGGGTTCGCTCTTCGGGGCACCTGATGGTGGTTCTGAAAATGCTCTGCTGATTAAGACGACGGTAGGAGGTCAATCTCCGCTTTTGGGGGGGAGTAATCAATGCCTCCTGCTGCATATGGAGACACTTCGATGACATCACATTTGGGAACAACCCACACAGAAGACACAATCGATGTTTGCACTGCCTATACATGTTTTCACAGCTATTACAAAACTTTGAGATGTACAAGGACGCTGGACCTGATTTCCAGCAGGTGCTGCTCCCCACCAATAGATGGAGCCTTGAATACCGGGAGCTGCTTAATGGGGATGCTCATATTGCCTCATTAAGCAGCCCCCCCCCTGCATGAAGTTTACCAAGAAAGAAAAGAAAAGAAATGGATGAAATGGCTTAAAAAACAAAGGACAAATCTCAGAATCAGCTTGCAGGAGTTAGAACAGAGTCACATCAGTTAATATCCTGTCTCTTATACACATCTAGATGTGTATAAGAGACAGCTTGAATACCGGGAGCTGCTTAATGGGGATGCTCATATTGCCTCATTAAGCAGCCCCCCCCCTGCATGAAGTTTACCAAGAAAGAAAAGAAAAGAAATGGATGAAATGGCTTAAAAAACAAAGGACAAATCTCAGAATCAGCTTGCAGGAGTTAGAACAGAGTCACATCAGTTAATATCCGAGTCAGGAGAGAACAGCGCAGAGAGGTGATGATCATGCTTTTCAGTTTCTTTGCATCTCACACTGGCGAGCTGCATGTCAGAAGAGGTTGGTGGCAAAGGGGGACCATTGTGGCAGCAGGTGCTGGTACTTACCCAGCAGCAGAAGACCGAGGTCCCACGGGATGTGTAGCCTTGTGAGGGACTGGAAGGCCGCATCCCACCATTACCACAGCTTGTTGACCATTAGGCAAGCCAGCAGCCAGTCTTCCAGTGTTGCCCAGGCTGGCGGTGTTGCCCTACCACAATAGTTGCAGATGGGTGACAGCAGGCCTCTCTGCTCAACGTCTGTTCTCGATACAAGCCAGTCGGGAGTGGGCAGGCAACAATGACGTATTTGCCATTGTAGGACTCTGAGATTCATTCGCATGATCTTAGAGTACTTTGACCAGGGCAGGCTCTCCAACATCTGTGGGTCCATGGGCCGCGATGGGCGAGTCCCACACCCATCTTTGGGCTAATGTTTGGTCAACTGGTTAGGTGGGATGCAAGGCTCTATAGCCCCTTTTGACTGTGTAATCCCAGATGCGCAGGGGCTTAGGTCCAGACCACTCCCATTCCCCAGGGTCGAACGGCAGCCTAGCGACCGGTACCACAGGCTCGTATACAAGGAGTCCTTCTTGCGTCGGGGGAGGGGTCCCCGGTCCAACCGGGGCTCAACACTGGTTTGTTTTTATTTTAGGTCTTAAATTTATTTTTTTTTCGAAAAAAGTTATTGTGGGTTCTTTGAGAAGTGACGTAAGTTTTCAGTCAATTTTAATTTGTCAAAAAGAAAAAAGAAAAACTATCAAAGATTGCGGTGAAAAAAAAGAAGGCATCCTCTTCCTCCTCGACATCCTCCCCCTCCTCCCCCTACTGTTCTTCTTCTTTTTCCTCCTCCTCCTCATCGCCTCCATCGCCACTGCCTATTCCTCCTCCTCCACTGCCTCGTCCTCCTTCTCCTCCTCCTCCTCTTCTTCCTCTTCCTCCTCCTCCTCCTCATCATCATCATCATCATCATCATCTTCTTCTTCTTCTTCTTCCTCCTCTTCCTCTTGCTCCATCGCCTATGTCCCCTCCTCATATTCCTCCTCTTCTTCTTCTTCTTTCTCCCCCTCCTTGTCGCCCTCCTCCTCCTCCTCCTCCTCCTCTTCTTCTTCCTCCTCCTGCTCGTCGTTTGTAGCAGCGGGTCCTCCATTAACCCTCCCCCCTCCCCCCTTTTTTACCATTTCTTTTCATTTTTGCTCAGAATGGCCTGAACTTTTTGGGGGGGGGTCCCCTAGTGGTGCGCAGACCCGCCCCCAAGTTATGTTTTCTTGTTTCCTCTTTTTTTTTTTTTTGGCCAAAAAGCTGTTGTCCGGGCTCGTTTCATTTTTTGAGAGTTGGCTGTCAAGGGGGGGAAAGGGGGGTATAATTTTTTTTAAAGGGGCTAAGAGGGTTTAAAGGGAGGTTCTTTAGTGTGATTTGGTTATTTCTTTTTATCTCCGATTCGGTGAGGAATTCTGATGTGACCCTCAAAAAAAAAAAAAAAAAAAAAAAAAAAA